CAGGGATGAGGCGGCCGCTGCTCCCCGTGGAGCAGCCCTCTGTCCAGCCCTGTCCAGCCTGCAGGCCGCTCCCCGACAGCAACCCGGGCTGGTGCTGGCAGCCAAAGGGCCAGGGACATCTGTTGGGCCCACTCCTCACCCTGGCGCCCTGCAGAAGAGCTGCCCATCCCCACCCTCCTGATTGGCAGAGCCCGGAAGTTTCCAGGCCATCGGTTGCCATGGCTCCCCGGAGACCCCTCTGTCTAGTAGTGCCCCAGCCGCTGTCCCTCCAGCCCTGAGTGGGGTGGGACTCAGGAGGACCTAGAGGGCTCTGTCCCCCACGCCTGCCCCGGGGGAGTCCTCCTGGCTCCCGCAGGCGCCCCGCCTACCCGCCTCTGTGGGCCTCTGTGGCCACACCCAGCACCCTCTGATAAGACAGAGCCACTCTGCTCTGTGACAGCCTTGTCCCCAGCCCGAGCCAGCAGAACACCACAGCAAGGTAAAGAGCCCCCTGCAAAGCCCCGGCCGGGCCCCATGCCCCCTGCAAGTGGCCCGGGGACGCTGCAGGTCACCGGCACTGCACCCGCCCACACCAGCCCCAGCGCGCGCCTCTCCCAGGGCCTGGCCCTCTCCTGCCTGGACGCCCTCTGTCCTCTGCCTGCATATCCCAGTGCCGCGGGCGGCTGTCTGGCCCGGCCACCAGCAGCCTCTGTGGAGCTCCAAGGTGACCGGGCCTCTGAGCCTGGCTGTGAGGAGCCGCCCGGCCTCCGGGTCCTCCACCGCCGCCCTGGATCCGAGTGACAGGGGAAGCCATCGGTCAGCTCAGCAAACGTGAGCTTCCCAGGGCGGCCCTCTCCAGCCGGGGCAGGGCAGCCGGCCACCCAGGTCCCCTCTCCTGCCCGGGCTGGCTCAGGCCTGGCTTCCTGTGGCTCTGAGTCACACCTTCTGCAGGACCAGGTGCCACTGCCAAGGGAGCGTGCTCAAAGGCTGGCGGATCCTAAACGCCAGCTGTCATCTCTGGCATCTCTCCTGGACCCGGCCAAGGGCCGCCTCCCCCGAGCCTGACGGCTTGGAGGAAGTGAACCCAGGCCACCACCAAAAGCCACCTGACGCTTGGCCACCTGTGACCCCCGGGGCAGGGGAGGAGCATCTCCAGGCACGGCCGGGGCGAGCGCCCTGAGCTCCAGGCCCTCCTGTGGCCACGGTGCCAACCGCCCTGCCTGTAGCCCTCAGCCAGCTCTGCGTGTGGCGCAGGTGGGACTGCTGGGCGGCACACACGTCTGCCTTGTGACTCCAGGGGTCAGTGATTCCTGTGGAGACACCTCCTTCATTTCCAAGCAGCTGGTGGCCTGTGGGACATCCTTGTGAACTAGGGACAGGAGCCTCCTCCTTCCTCAAGACCCTGCCCGTGCCCCATGGCTGGGCTGCAGAAATGCACAACCTGCGCAGCTGTACTTGGCAGGGCTGGCTGCCATCATGTTTCCTTCCACAGCTCCCACTGCAGGCAGGAGTCGGCAAAAGAGGCTATGTCTGGGGGCATGCTGCAGGCCCTGCGCCCTGCTCCGAAAACACCCTGAGGAGAAGCCATAGGCTCCCCCGTTGTCCAGTCAACACGCCCGGGAGAGGCTGTAACTGTGAGAGAGATATAGAGGGGAACGGGCACCACATTTGTGCCCCAGGTGCCTACAGGGGCTACTGCAGATGTGTGGCCCTCAGTGGGTTGGGAGGGCCCCAGCAGAGGCGTGGGCCAGGCCTGCCCAGGAGCAGCGTGGGCATGTGCAGGCCTGAGTCTGGCCCCGTGTGACGGTTGTGGTGCTGGGGCTGCTGGCGCAGGCCTGGGGCTGAGGGCGGCGCCGGCTGGGGCTCCTGGGTTCAGCACAGTTCGAGGGGCAGCACGTGGAGCCAGGTCTTAAAGCCACAGCGTCCTGTCGTGGCCACAGCCGTCATGGGGACAGGCTCTGGACTCGGTGGCCAGCAGGAGGAAGGACCTGGGGTTCTTTGCTGAGGTTGAGTGTGGGGCCTCCTCATGGGGCGCACAAGGCTGCCGTGCCACCGGAGGCCACGTCACCCCTCTCCCAGTTGCTTCTCAGGAGTTGTAGTTTACAAGTCCCCGAGGCCTGGGGTCTGGCTTCCTGGACCCAGGCAGCTGCATGCAGTAGGTGCTCAGCAGCCAGGACCTGGTTGTGCCGGCCCCTTCCTCACCTGTGCCCTGTGGCCGTCTTCCCTCTGCTTTCTGCTCGGCCCCTGACCGGCTTCAGCCCCTCCTGCCTCACCTCTGGGCCCATGTGGGTCCGTCCTACAAGATGAGGTCACTGCCCCTCACGAGCTCAAGCCACTCGGGGCCAGGGGACATTTGCTCCTGGGACCCAGCACAGAGTGCGTGGGGTGCTGCCGCGGCACCGGCCAGCGATGGGCTGCCCAAGGGAGGTGTCGAGGGTGTCCCCTGCGGCTCCAGGGTCTCAGGCCCTCTCCCAGGGCGGCAGTGAGCCCAGGCCCAGTGAGGGCCGTGATGACCCGTCAGGTCAGGGCAGTCCATCCCGTCAGAGGCCGTGGGGCCGGCCTTTGCTTGGCACGGGTGACCGGTCGGAGCCGTCACAGTCTGGGGCAGCACAGTGGCCAGTGTGGGCTAGAAAGGTCTTGGGTGGGTTGGGAATGGCCGAGAGGACTCCAGGTGGGTGTGGCGAGGTGGGAGGTGTCCCCAGGGGTCGAGGAGGGGGCCGGCGCCCCGCGCGGTGGTCCTCACTGGTGGATGGCGTTCCCGAGAGCTGCCGCACTGCAGGAGGGCACAGGGTCTGCGCCATCCCCGCCTCCTCAGGGCCGAGCTGAGGCCCTGGAGGTGGAGTGGCCTTCAGTCAGAGCGGCCACCATGCAAGGACGCGCCTTGCCCCTGGGTGGTCAGGGAGACAGTCAAAAGAGGTCCAGGCAGCCTGTTGGCCAGAGTGGGTCCCCACAGAGGGGCAGCTGGCAGGATGTGACACAGGCTGCTGGGGCCTGGCAGGGTTTGGGCACCGCTCGGCCGTGGGTGGAATCGGCCAGCCTGGGTCTATGTGCTGGACACAAGGTGGGTTCACCCTGAGCCAGCCACCGTCCACCTGTCCCCAGGGCAGGTGGGGCCATGGGCGGGGCACCCTGTGTGGGTCACCCTTCCAGGTTTCAGGGAGCCACTGACCTGGGAAATCACTCACAGGGGGAACGGGCCTGCTGAGCCCGCCGTCTACTGAAGGCCACAGCCGCCACGCAGCCCCCAAGGGCACCCAGAGCCCTGTCCCTCGGGCCGGCCGCAGGCCCTGTCTGGTGGCCCTGAGCAAGCCAGGGGCCTCGGGGGCAGAGGCTCCTGCGCAGGGTTCCCTGTGCTGGCCGGCTGGTAAGGGCCCCCGGCCCACGGCCAGCCCCTAGGTGGCTGTGGTCCACCCCGTCCCCATCCTCATGCCCTGGTGGCCCGTCCCGGGACGATGGGGCCTTCCTAGTGCATCCCCACCAGCAATCTGGTGCCGCCAAGGCCGGTGCCCTGTCCGGCTGTGTCCCCCGCCAATCAGAACCTCACTGGCCTCCCCTGTTAAACGGGGCCGAGGGGCTGCTGCCTGCCCCGTCCCTCCTCCGGGGCCGCCCTGTCCGGGTGGCTGTGCTGGACACCAGGGCTTGCCCGGTCTGTAGGTACCAGCCTAGGCCAGCCCAGCTGCCCCCACTCACAGGGACCTCTCACCGTGGGCCAGCGCCTCCCCAGGGCGTCTGCCGCCCTCTCTGTCTGGGCCTCTGTCATGGTGCCCTGTCCCCTGCTGCCCCTGGCCCTGGCTTGCCTCCCTCCCTCCCTCCCTCCCTCCCTCCCTCCCCTCTGCTTCCCTGGGCAGGGCCTTCCTGGCTCCTGACTGACTTCCGGCCACCGCTGGGTCCTGGTGGGATGTGGGCACCTCTCTCCCTCCCCCTCAGCAGGCCACCAGGAGGCGGGGAGGGCGGCAGTGGGCCCCGAGGGCGGCTCACTTCTGTCCTACGCCCGCGCGAGCCTGGGGGTGGACAGCGAGTGGCAGAGTGCCGTGTGAGTGAGAGGAGGCTTTGGCAGGTAACCGAAGTTGGGCTCCTTGGCGTCTTTGAGCAGAGAGATGCCATGCCTTCAGGGGACAGCGCGGCTCAGGTCCTGGCCGCAGGGTAGCCGCCTGCCCGTGCCTCCGTCCCTGGCCACCCAGTCTCCTCGGAGGAGCCCCTGCCCGCAGAGGCATTGCTGTGACCCCAGTGGCCCGGCTCCTCTTGCCGGAGCCCCTCCCCCGCCGGCCGCGGAAGTCCCTGGCTGGCCTCGGGAGGCACAGCGCCGGCTGCTCCCGCCTGCTGCCCGCCCAGCTGCGGCTCCCCTGCGCGGGATGACGCCCAGGCGGCCGCCGGCCACACAGTGGGCTCGTCAGATGACTGTGGGGGCTCCTGCCACACACCGCATTCCCTAGGACGGAGAGGGCGGGGCGCGGAGGAAGGCACAGGTCCTGCGTCTCGTCTCGTGCCTGCCGCGGCGGCTCGCGGGCGCGGAGCAGGGGAGCCTGCCTTTCCAGCCCCTTCCAGAGAAAGCCAAGCAGGACCGCCGCCCCCGGCTCTCGGGCTGTCTCCTCCGCGTCCCTGGAAGATGCGTCGGGCCGAGGCGGGCGGGGGGAGCTCCTGTACCACCCGCTGTCCCTGCCGCCGCCGCCTCCCGGGCCACTTACTTTCTTCGCTCTGGGCGGTGGTGTCCTGGCCAGCCCCCGGGCGCCTGGAGCCAGCCCGCTCTGCAGCCGGGCAGCGGCTCCAGCATGCCTGAGTCCTCCCCCCTGGCTCCTGCGCCGCCCGCCCCCCCCACATCCCATTGTGCCCCGCTCGCCTATCCCGGCAGCCCCCCCAGCTCCTCCTGCACCTCGCGGCCGCCCAGTCTCCTCCATGCTGCCTGGATCCGGCGAGCCGGGTGATTAATTGGCTGTGATGATGAGCGTCCCCGGCGGAGGAGCAGCCACCGTGATGATGATGGGTTACAATAATGGTCGCTGTCCCCGGAATTCTCTCTACAGTGACTGCATCATCGAGGACAAGACGGTGGTCCTGCAGAAGAAGGACAATGAGGGCTTCGGGTTCGTGCTCCGAGGGGCGAAAGGTAAGAGCGGGTCCCTCTGCATGTGTGTGTGCGCCTGTGTGGAGACCGTCCCCGGCTCCGCGAGGGCTCGGAGCAAGCCTTTCCCGGGCGCTCGGTTGCTAGACAACAGTGCTGTTCGGCATGCCGCCTTCCCCGAAAACACGGCTCCTTCGGGCATATTTTGAATTTTCTAGACACGATATTGCTCCGAAGGGCTCCTTCTCCCTCCCTCCCCCACCGTCCTCCCCATCATGGGGGATCAGCTGCTGTGTGCTGTGCTTCCGTGCGGCCACGCTGGGGCTGCTCCGAGCTCCTGGGCTCCGACACACAGTCACCAGCCCCTGGTCAGCCCCGGGATGCCGCTGTCTGGAAGTGGCTTCAGCTCCAAGGGCGGCAGGCATCTGTGTGCTTGTCTCTAAGGTGACTTTGCCAAGGGAAAGTGGCAAGATGGTCCCCTCGGCCGTGGACCCAGCTGGCAGCACACACACCCCGGGCCTGTGGTGGAGGCTCTGGGATGCGGCCCCTGGAGGCGCAGCCACCACCTGCCCTTGGAAGTGGGGGACTTCCCTTCCAAACTAAGACAAAATGGCACCCCCCACCAGAGGAGACATCTGCCCACCGCGTGTGTGGCTGTGGCTCAGCCAGGGGGAAGTTTCCCCGGAGCCGCGCTGCCCTGCTGGGCCCCACTGAGCCCAGGGAGCCTCCTCCCTGCTGGCTGCCCACCTGCTGTGGGCTCAGGCGGCCCACAGAGGTCTGTGCAGAGGGAGGCTGACTCTTCCCATGTGAGCGTCCTGCCGTCTGCGGGCGTCCCCTCCCCCTGCCCGGGCGTCTTCCCGGCCTCTGCCCGCCCCCGCCCCCGCCCCTCTTGACTGCCAGGAAAGTCCTTCTCTTGCCCTCGAGTTCCATGGGGCAGCTGTGTGGGCCCCAGACACCAAGCCTTGCTCTGCTGAAGGTGGAGGCCCGGCCCTCCTGTGCCATGGCCACAGAGTGGTCACCGAGAGCCAGGCTCCCCCTGGAGAGGGCTGACCAGCAGATTCCAAATCTGCAGCCCCCCGAGGGGTCAGCCTTCTGTTGCACCCATGTTCCGCGACGCATGCCCTGGCCCGCGAGTCTGCGTAGACGTGAAATTGGCAAGTGCCTCTGAGCGGAGTTTCTCAGCGCCCTGTGGTAGGGGAGGAACTTTTCCATTTTTAGAACTGAAAATGTTTAGTCACTGGCGCTTTAAAGAAAATGACAGGCGTGTAGACATGTACCGCAAAGCACGCTCTTCTGTGGCTCCGGCAGGGAGGCCCAGGAACATGGTGGAGGCGCCCTCGTGCAGTTGGCGCCATGGCCCGGGCTGGCGTTGGCCAAGGCCTGAGGCTCCGGCCCTTCCCCCAGGAGAGTGGGCTGGGACCACCCCTCCCCGCAGGGGATGCAGGACCCTCCCCGCCAGGGTCCCTGGGGAAGCGGGCAGGGCATGGGGCTCAGCTGGTGACCAGGGGCCTCTTGTTTTCCCAGCCGACACCCCCATTGAAGAGTTCACGCCAACACCGGCGTTCCCAGCCCTGCAGTACCTGGAGTCCGTGGACGAAGGCGGGGTGGCCTGGCAGGCCGGGCTGAGGACCGGGGACTTCCTGATCGAGGTAGGAACTCGCTGTCTGCGCCTTCTGGTTTGGGGAGAGCGCCGACTCTCCGTGGGGAGAGGGCCGTGAGGAGGCCCCCAGCCGGCGCAGTCGGGTGCCCTGGAGGGGCCACCATGGGGCTGCCTCCACCTGTGGCCCTGTGTCGGGGCTGCCTTTGGGGCTCCGGCTGGGAGTCCTTGGAAGTGAATGTGGAACGTTGGTCTTGTAGAAGCTAGGAAGAAGGGACACGGCTGCCGTGACGTTGGGGACGTGTGCTGTGGATCCCTGGGTGGCTCAGTTGTGTGGCGCTGTGTCCAGGGAAGTCGGCAGGGCCTGTGGTCTGTGGCTGAGAAGTTGATTGATTTACCGTTGTTGGATGGACGTTGGTCTTCAAAGACCAAGGAGCGTGGCGAGAGGGTGGCTGGAGTTGACAGCACGGGAGGAGCCCGTGTGCCCGGAAGTTTGGAAACAGCTCCTCCTTTCAGAGGCGCCACTTTGAAGAATGCCCCTGGTGGGAGCCCCCCCGCCCGCGAACCCGTGTGGGGTGTCGAGTCCCTAGTGCGTCCGAGCCCTGGCCTCTGTGCAGATTTCAGTGTTGCTTTCCATTCCACCTGAAGGGATGTGCTACTCTTCTGGAGAACAGAAAGATGTGTCCTAGGTTGGAAACGGTCATTGTCAACGGTTTTGGTGGACTTGGATGGCCCTCGGTGGGAGGTCCCATCTCTTAGGTGTTCCCCTGTGTTAAACCTGAGCCCTGCTCACCTGGATCAGAGAGCCACAGTGGGTGGGAGAGGCGGGTAGGAGGCCTGCCCGCCACGTGGGGGACCTGCCACTGGTGGCAGCACACGTCCACCCTGGCGCCAGAGCCCCCTGAAGCCGTTTCCCTGCGTGATGCCTGATCTCGGGACTGACTGCCGTGCCAGCCAGGATCTCTGTAGCCTTCCCAAGACCCTGAGAGGCTGACGGGAACCCAGAGCAGAAACTGCAGGGCCAGGCCAGGTGGAGAGGTGTGTCCCCTGGTCATCCTCGACCCCCAGAGCCCGGCTGTGGTAAGAGTGCGCTAACTGGGGTCCCTGGGAGCTGGGGCGGTCGAGGCCCCTCAGAGCGGCTCCCTGGGTTTGTAACCCTCCTGAAAAGGCAGGCCTGGGTTGAATCATCTTCTGTAGGATGCAGTTGTGATGTAAATCCCCTTCCTGTGAGGGGGAGGCGTGGCCTGGGCGCGGGCGGCTGGGTCTGTGAATGGGGAGCCTGTGTGTGGAGCAGGGCCGTGCTGGTGCGGCTCTGGGTTTTCAGTGATGAACGGAGCTGGGGGGACAGGAGCTTCCTGCCCGCCTTGTTTGGCTCCTTGGATTGTTTCCTCAATCAAAGAAACCTGGTCTGCTGAGGCGGAGCCCGGGCAGCCCGGCCTGGAGGCGGGCGGGCGTTGCTGCGCCTGGACCCAGCCCCAGGGCCCGGAGGGGGCCGTCCTGCTAGACTGACGCCTCCTGGGGTCCGGGCTCCTTCTCAAGCCCCTTGGTGTCGCCTTCAAGCTCCTTCATGAAAACGCCCCTGCCATCCTGGAGCAGGTCTCGGTCTGGGGGAACCTCTGGATTCCAGGATTCTAGGAACGGCTGGCCCTGAGGCACATCAGGGCTGCGTCAGAGCCACGGTGTCCCCCGTGACCTAAGGCAGACCTGGCCTCCTTGGCACAGTCCCCACTGGTCACTGCAGCCTGAGCACTGACGGGGTCCGCAGGGTACAGGGGCCCGTCCCCTAGAGGGACCCGCCTCCTTCCAGTCCTCTTCCCCCTTGGGTGCTGGCGGGTGAGCGGAGGACCCCTGCCGTGGCCTCCTGGCCCCTGGACTTGGCCACAGGGCACCTAGTCCCCCGAGGTGTGGTCCCCAGCAGCGAGAAGCTCCGACCTTGGGGGGATTGTCTGAAATAGCCTCACGTGTCCCAGTGAATGTCCGCCTTGGCCTGAGGCCACCCCTAGAGTCGGTGGCATTTCTGAGCTCTCAGGTCCTTGTCCCCCATGTCCCTTGGCAGACCTGCTCTTCCCTCTGTTGCTTGAAAGAGCCTCGAAAGTATGTCAGACTTTTTATGTTCTCTGTAAAACGCATGCTGAGGTCTGAACCACGGGCCAAGCGGCCTCCTCTGAAGACAGCGTCGGCTTTTGAAGTCCCCGGCGCCCACGGAACTCCATTTTCTGTCCTCTAACTTTGTCAGCCCGCCCTGACCCCGTCACCGTGTTGGGCACTGGACCCGTAATGAAGCCTCCTGTCGTGCCTGATTGCCTTGGGGCTCACCGTCTCCCCCGCGGAGGCCTTGGGAAATTCGTCTTTTGTTTTTTGGGGATTTTTTGATCCCCACCCCTTGGGGTAAATTCCCTGTGACTGGCTACCTTCAGGTTGGGGATTACAAGGGACAGACGGTGTCAGTGTGCGCTCTGTGAACTCGCTCTCAGAGGTGAGGGGGGTGCGTGCGCCCGTGGGTGAGGACATCTGGTCACGGCGGCCCAGTGGCCCTGCAGGGCTGTGTGTGATCTTCTGTCCCTGTCCTCGGGCGGGCCCCAGGACCCCAGGGGATGCTCCAGTCCTACGTGTGGAACGGCAGGGTGTGCTCACACATGAACGGTGTGTGTCTGCCTGTGACCGAGGTGCCTCCCCCCCCCCCACCCCCGTGCACTACCAGTTGTCCCTGGGCTGCTTGTGACACCTAATGCAACATGAACGCTTGGTCAGTGGTTGTCATATGATATCGTTTGGGGAATAATGACGAGGAAACCAGAGCATGCTTAGTACAAGCAGAGGTTCAGAGGTGGCCTCGGCCATCTGGCAGGGGGTGTGGGGCTGGGGCCACGGCCTGAGGGATGGCTGCTCCCTGCTGCAGCCCCTGAGGCCAGTGCCCTGGCTCTCCTGGCAGTGCTGGTGAGGTGGCAGCCACCCAGGAGAGGGCCCGGAGGCTTGGGAGGCTGCAGGGGAGCAGGGCAAGTTCTGTCCTGCAGGTCAGATGTACAGGCAGGGACGCCACCTGCCAGGAAAGGCCCTGGCCCTTGGGGACAACGGGACACCTGCCCACACTGGTGTTCACTGTGGGCAGAGCTTCCAGGAGGCGCTGGCTTGGGGCTGTTGGCTGCTGTCTCCTGGAGGTTGTCATGGGAGGCCAACTTGCTCCAGTGGATGGGGCGGGAGACGTCAGAGGTCACCTCCAAGTTTACGGGAGTCCTCAGGAGGATGCGGAGGGCTCGCGGGTGGAGGTCGGGCTGTCCCTCCATCCTGCAGGACTACAGTCAGACTCGTCCTGCTGCTGTGGCTGGGTAGGGGAGTCGCCCAGGCCCCAGCCACCTGCTGACTCAGAACCATGAGATGGGAGCCCAGGCTTCCAGGTCTGGGTGCTAGAGTGTTGCTGGGCCCCAGGGGCAGGCAGGGTGACCACTGCTGACCTTGCAAGTTGGCATTTTGAACCTGGTCCCTGGCCTTCCATCCAGTCTCTGGGTCCCACGTAGACCCAGAAACCGTGCTAGCCTGGCGTAGGATCAGCTGTCCTTCCACGCACCCCGCTTGGACACTTAAGCCTTTCCTAGAGTTCCTTCGTAACTAGAACACCCTGGACCTCTCCAGAGGTGGTGGCACACGCCTGTAGTCCCAGGGGCTCAGGAGGCTGAGGCAGGAGGATCACGAGTTCAAAGCCAGCCTCAGCAAAAACGAGGCACTAAGCAACTCAGTGAGACTCTGTGTCTAAATGAAATACAAAATAGGGCTGGGACGTGGCTCAGTGGTCCAGTGCCCCTGAGTTCAATTCCCCATACCAAAAAAAAAAAAGAAGAAGAAGAAGAAGAACACATCCTGTATCTCAAAAATAGTCCATAAGGCAGTTCCACGGTCAGTGTCCAAAGGGCAGACAGCACCTACAACAAAGATCAGAGGAGACCCAGTCCTTTGAGGCCACTGATGTCCCTGCCCGGCCCTGTGCTGTGCCCTCTGGTCCATAGCAGTCCTCATAGATGTCCTCCGTTGTGGGCACCATCTGAAACATGAGGGGACTGAGGCACACGGAGGCCAGATGACCTGCCCAGGGTCGTGGCCACTCAGCTGGTGGCTGGAGGGGGGGACCCGGCCCAGGGCGGCTGACACGGTGGCGTCAGGCCCAGCTCACAGGCCCCCGAGACTCTTGTGTGCTGATGTATAAAGGGGCCAAGGGAAGAAGAGACCCCACGGTGGAGCCGGGCTCGTTTGGAATCAGCCAGCACTTCTTCGTCACTCTAGCTGTTGCCGGTGACAACACCCTGGGGTTGCCAGGTGAACGAGCTGCCGTGCGCTCTGCAGAGATCGACGTGACAGTGTGTTACAGGACCCACGGAGCTGACCTGGGACTCTGGCGTCTGGGATCCATCCTCAGAGAAGCCCGGACAGCCAGGCAGGGATCACAGGGCAGCAAGACCGAGGAGCAGCCGGAGGCCTGCAGACACGGGTGCGGATTCCTAAGAGAACATTAGAAATTATTCCTCCCAGGAGCTCCCAGGACCAACGTGAGATGGTCGCGTGGTATTGTCACCACTCCCCTGAGAGGGCCACGGGGAGGGAAGGACACACTGTCCCTGGGAGAGGGGCTGCACCCTCGTCTGTCTCCGGACCCTGCTGTCTCGGACTTTCCTCAGCACCCATGGTGGACGGGTGTTCATTCATCAATGGGGAGATCTTTCCTGGGGGGCTGTCCACTCTGGGGAGGGGCGTCATTTGGTCTGGGAGGAGCGAGTCTTGTTCCGGGGCCTCCCCGCCAGCCTCACCCAGGGCCGAGAAGACTCCTGTGGTTTTTGTGATTGTTTTCTTGGCCCTGAAGTGGCCCCTCTCGTTTTTGTGTTAATTTCCCTAAATAGGTTTTCCCTTGCAATTATAGCAGGCGGTAATACCCTTCGTCCTCGGGAAGCCACACTTCGGGCTGCTAATTACTTTTCCTCCTATTAAACACTCGCACTAGAGGTAGATGCTGCCGAGCGGCTTTCTAATCGGCTGTGTTGGAGGGAGGAGGCTGAGAGGAAGGCC